ACCCTGGGAAATGACTGACCCTTTCCATGAGAATATCTGGAATGAAAGAGTCCCCATCCTTTTTGTTGGAATCCTGGAACTGCTGGAAAACTAGATGGAGTTCTCCAAAGCCTTCTACTTTCCAGAGAGAAAAGGCTCCACATCATCACTCATAATGGCACAGGTTCTCCAGCACCTTGGTCATCTCTGACACATACAGAGGGGTTGCACTGGCTGCTGCATTGGGATTTGACACATTCCTCAGACAGTCCTGGCTCACTGTTCAACTGGCACAAAGATGCATCTTTAGACAAAACAGTGCCTTTCTGAAGAAGCAAAAGAAGGGTGTGGGAAAGGCCCCAGTTGGTCACCCTGTGCAATGAACATTTCACACTCCACGTGAAACTGTAGCCAGGCTCTTCAGTACCCACTGGAGGAGAGGTGCTCTGAGCTGCCAGGGAAGTCCAGTGTCCCAAATCCAACTCCAGCACCCCCATGGTGGCCCCTGAGGCTCTGGGCATGGAGTAGGAAGCACTGTCCAACATTACTTGACCTGCTCTGTATATGATATTGTTGTCTTTGGACATCACTCACAGTGCAGCAATACATAAACAAAGTGGATCAGAGTGTGTATTTCTGCATGTGCATCGATGTCACTCCACTTACTTCCCCAAGGAAAGATTTCTGCAGCAACAAAGCAAGAAAGTTACTCAGAGTACCTGGCACAGCATGAATACAGTAGTCATGACAGATGATGGACCTGAACAAGCAGGATTGGAAGTATGCCAAGGAGAAACATACAATTTTACCATTCACATTTGAATTTTCAAATGAAACACCTGTGTCCGCATATTCCAGCTGATTTGCCATGTAATGTCACAAGTCTCCTACTTTTCTCTCATGATCCAGAAGCCTCTTTGACATAAAATTCTGGGTTACACTTAGATTGAGGACAGAATCAAAATCTCCCTCCCACCTTGCTGGCAGCGGCCACTGTTCCCCCTTCTCTGTGTTGTAGACAAGCAACTTCCCTTTCTGGCCACCACCTCCCAGAAACAATCAAACAGTTTCTCCAGGTGCCTCACTCTCTTTGACACCATCATTTTCCATACCTTGTGGTTCAGGAAAAGGCCACCATGGCCACGGGACTCACGAACTTCACAGAGCCACCAGAACACTGTCACATCCAAGCCTCCACATGAGGCAGGATCAAGGACAGTGGGAAACACCTGAGTGCCCCAATGCTGCCTAGATGTGGCATCAAAGGGATGGCCTGGGTTTAGGACTTTCATTGAGAGATGTGGGTGCCGTGGCCCTCTCCAGATATCTGGAGAGAAGGAACTGGGCCCTGAGTGTGTGTGAGGGGCTGGCACTGCTGGGCAGGGAAGGCCCTACGGAGCGTGCAATGGCTGGGCTGAGAGCTCAGCTCAGGCCCAGCTGTGGACACACACACAGGGGCACTGACACACTGCCAGCCTGCCCAGCTGTGCTCAGAGATGACCCCAGAGGCACAGAGCCCAGCACACGGCCACAGGAACACGGGCTGGGGGGTTGCACACAAGTGCCCTGACCTGAGCACAACCATCCCTGCGCAGGCCAGAGGCTCTCAGGGGTGTTCCCAGCAGGGCACAAGCACCGGGATGTGCAGACACTGGCACACACTGGGGCACAGCCACAATAGCAAGCACATTATTGTGGGGGAGCACAGGGGGCAGAGGCCTGAGGAAGGGATGTGAGTGAGGAGGTGCAGGGAAGTTCCCAGTCAGAGCAGATTCTGGGAACACCAAGCAGGCAGAAGCTCAGTCTGAAGGGCTACAGGAGTCTCAAGCACTATGAAGGCCAAGGAGAAAGAGTTTCATTGAAAGGACAAATCACATAGAGGAGCCATTAGGCGGTGAGCAAAAGACTGGAGGGCAGTGAACACAGAAGGCCCTGCCAGCCAGCACCAACATCAAATATCCAAAAGAATGCCTCAGGCTAGAATCACCTGCCTCTTTGGGTTCCCTTCTGCACCTAGGTCATGTCTCTTACACACACCGACGCATCCTTGGCCCCAGGAAACATGGGATCTCACGTACCAGCATTCAAAAAAGGTCCATGAAGGAATGGGAATGATGTGAGCCAGGAAATGCAAAGTCATTGTAGACGGAAAAACCAACTCATGCCATACCATTCCTAGAAATCTTTCCATTCATTTGGGATCATGCAGGAATATCATCACTTGTGCAGCTCAAACTGTGGGCCCTGAGGCACTGTGGGGCCAGGATAAAAGGCAGCTGAACTGGTGGCTCTCTCTACAACTTCTGTCACCTCCTCCTTCTTGGGAATCAGGTGAGTTGGAAGCCCCTTTAACCTCCACCCTCTCCATGACTGCATTGATCTTTCTGTTCCTTGTTCCTGCTCCTTGTGCTTCTGTGGGCGTTCTGCAATGGTGGTGGTGTGGGCAGAGGGGAGACCGTGTGCTCTGGCCAGAGGCTGAGGCTGGGCTGAGGTGCTGATTTTCATCCCGGTTAGGCAGGAGCACAGCTGGGCCTGGCTGAGCTCGGAAGGACCGTGCTGGGCTCAGGCAAAGGATCCCCAGGCTGGGCCTGCACAGGCTGGAGCTGCGCAGGCAGCAGGGGCCTTGTCCTGCTGGGGGTGCCTTGCGGGCTGTGTCTCAGGTGTGCGTGTGCTCTGCTTCCTCCCTGCCCTCTGTGCCAGGTGCAGCGCCAGGCTCCAGACATGTCCTGCTCTGAGAAGTGCCAGCAGTGCCAGCCCTGCAACCCTTGCTGCCAGCCCTGCGGCCCCTGCCCGCTGGCCAGCAGCTGCACTGAGTGCTGTGTCAGGCAGTGCCAGAGCTCCCACGTTGTCATTCAGCCGCCTGCTGTGCTGGTGACCCTGCCCGGGCCCATCCTCAGCTCCTCCCCACAGAACACCGCCGTGGGATCCTCCACCTCTGCTGCTGTTGGCAGCATCCTCAGCTCTGAGGGAGTGCCCATCAGCTCTGGGGGCTTTGACATCTCCTGCATCACCAACTGCTGTGGTGGCAGCAGATGCTGTCGTCCCTGCTAAAAATGCTGATGCCAACGTCCTCAGGCAAGAACCTCCACAACCTCAGGACATGCTGCGGGAATGAAGACAGAACCTGAGACATTTGATTTAGAGCTTCAGATTGTTCTTTCCTTCTTCTTCTCTTGCTCTCATTTCCCTCTCCTCTTCCTTTCCTGTCTCCAACACTCAATGTCAGACCAGTGGGACCTCTTGGCCTCCTTCCTTCGGCAGGCCAGGATGTCACATATCACTGGGGCATCTGAGTTTCTGCCATTGAGTGCCCTCTCTGAGCCTCCATATTTTCTTCTTTTGACTCAATAAAGTTGTTTGTGCATTCTAACCTTCGCCAATGATTTGTCCTTCCTTCTGTGACAACCCTTCCAGTTCCCACTCTTGCAAAAGGCTGGAGGAAGCACAGCATTGCCATCCCTGCACCTTTCTTGGTGCAATTTTTTTCGTTCAATTTTTTTTCCCTTCCCCTTGGAGCTCACAAAGATGTCCCTCTCTGTCAGGATGGTGAGGCAGTGTGCTAAAGTGCCCAGAAAGGTTTTGGATGCTCAACACTGGAAGTGAGCAAAATAAGGTTCAACCCTGCTTTGAGCCAGCTGGTTTAGTGGGTGCCCAACTATTAAAGGCAGGAGGACAGGAATAAAAGGTTTTGGAGTTGCCTTCCAGCCCAAACCATTTCTAATGAAACCTGCTTTCCCAGAGGCCTCAGCAGTGTGACAAATGTGCTCAGTGGGGAACAGGTCTGAGTCCCCTTTGGACACAGCTGGAGCTGACACAGTCAGACATGGCTGGAGACACTGGACTCTTCTCACAAAGCCCATTTCTGCAGCCTGAGTTACAAAGTTTTTCCTTGTGAGCAACCACAACACATGAGGAAGCCTTGCTTCCTGGGAAACTGCCAGCCATCATTTCCTGATGGAAGGAGGCCATGACAATTTTTTTCCCAGTGTACTTGTGCATGCATAACCTTTCACTATTGCTTTAGCAAACTCCTTTCCATCAAGGTTCAAATTGTTCTCTGATGGATATTATCTTCCGTGATCCCCTGGGGAAATGGATTGATAGAGCAGCTTGCTGGGCATCATCCATCCAGCCAAGGGCCACCAAGCACAGCTGCTAATCCAGCCCAGGGCAAGAGCAGGAACAAGCTGCAGAAGCGGGCATGGACTGTTGGCGAAAGTTAATTGTATTAGAGGGAAGCAAGAGCACGAAGAATACTTTATGTCCCCTATCCATTCCCAAAATGAGCCAGGAAAACAGGCTGCACATGAAAACTCATAGGATGTCACAAAGAGATGCGAGAGAGATGGGCAGCTACAGAGGAAGAATGAGAGTGATGCCCTGAGCATTTTGCCACAAACAAACCCACAGGAATGACACAGGTTCAGGTCATGAGCCTGCATGGAATGCCACCAGACAATGATCCCAGCATTCTGCCTACTCTGACGTGTTTATATCCTGGAAATCCTTGAGCCGTTCATCCTGGCCCTAGAAGGAGTCTTCAGATAGGAACGCACAGGGCAGAAGCCGGGAAGTAGAGGCTGCAGTGCAGGAAATCAGGACACAGCCCCTACCATTAGCTGGGATAGTTTGCATTTGACATAAGCTGGTCAGAAAATTATGACTTCCACAAAGGTGCCTCTGGGCCTTTAGGCAAGGCAGCATAGCTATAAAAGGCAGCCCAAGTCTCTGCTCTCTTATCCACTTTGCTCACATCCTCCTCCTCCTCAGGAATCAGGTGAGTGGGAAGCCTCTTCTTCTCCTCCTCCTGCTGCTGCTTCAAGAGCATCTCTTGCCTGGCTGGAGATCGCAGGTGAAAGGAGATATAGGAGACCAGGGCTGGGAGCTGATCCTATTGGGAGAGGGCAGGGGAGAGAAGGTCTGGTGCAGACAGAGAGAAGCTGGGGCTTGGCTGAGGTGGCTCCTGGGCTTTGAGCTGGGCAGTGCAGTGGGGGCCAGGAGGTGCCTGGGCTGCAGGGGGTTTGGGTGCAGTGCTGCTTCTCATGTGTCCTCACTTTGTGCTTCTCCCTGCCCTCTGTGTCAGGTGTGCCTGTGACCCCGAGCCATGTCCTGCTGCCAGCCCTGCGACCCTTGCTGCCAGCCCTGCGGCCCCTGCCCGCTGGCCAGCAGCTGCAATGAGTGCTGTGTCAGGCAGTGCCAGAGCTCCCACGTTGTCATTCAGCCGCCTGCTGTGCTGGTGACCCTGCCCGGCCCCATCCTCAGCTCCTCCCCACAGAACACCGCCGTGGGATCTTCTACCTCTGCTGCTGTTGGCAACATCCTCAGCTGTGGCGGAGTGCCCATCAGCTCTGGGGGCTTTGACATCTCCTGCATCACCAACTGCTATGGCAGCAGATGCTGTCCCCCCTGCTAAAGATGCTTCCAACATCCTTGGGCAAGAACCTCCACAGCCTTAGAATATGGAACTGAAATGAAGATGCATCTTTGGAACAATGATTTTGTGCGTTTGGTTTGCTGCTATTTTCATCCACTCTCTTCTCTTCCCTTCCCTTCCTGTCAGCACCACCCAATGCCAGCCTAGTGTGACCTCTTTGCCTCCCTCCTGTATCTGTCACTCTGCAGTCCAGGTAAATGGATACCCTAATTATACCCCAGCAGCTGCTCGTGATGTCCTCTTTCAGCTTTCTCCTTCTCTTCCTTAGACTCAATAAAGTTGTTTTGCATCCAAACCTGGCCCTCTGCTTTCTCCTTCCTTGTGTGGGAACTCTTCCAGTCAGCTCAGGGCAAAAGGTGCAGGAAGACAAGCTTGGACAATTTGTGGTGGATGTTACTTTGTGCCTTTTCTCTTGCATCTCCCAAACAAATCCCATGCTTCCCCAAAATAGTGATCATCACCAGAAGATGATGTCAAAGGTCACAGGAGTGGGAATGGGAAACAGCATTCCTGGGGAGAGTCCACAACCTCCTCTCTTCAAACACCTTCCTCACATTAGTCTTCTGCTCAGCGACTAACCAGACTGGCAGGGCTGAGGGGTTTCACAGAGTCAAGTAAGCATGAGGACAGAACCAAAATCATCCTCCTACCCTGTTGGAGTCTGCCACATTTTCTTATTCTGGATGTGGGAAAGGAGAAATTCTCCCGTCTTCTGTCCTCCACATCCCAGACATGGTCAAATGTTTTTCTCCACTTGACACATTATTTTTGACAGCATCATTTCCCCACAGCTCATGGCTCAGGAGAAAGGCCACTGTGGCCGCTGGACTTCCCATCCCACAGAGCCACCAGAACACTGTCACCGCTGAGCCTCCACATGAGGCAGGATCAAGGACAGTGGGAAACACCTGAGTGCCCCAAGGCTGCCTGGATGTTGCATCAAAGGGATGGCCTGGGTTTGGGCCTTTCATTGAGAGATGTGGGTGCCGTGGCCCTCTCCAGGTTCCTGCAGAGAAGGAAGAAGACCCTGAGTGTGTGTGAGGGGCTGGCACTGCTGGGCAGGGAAGGCCCTACGGGGAATACAATGGCTGGGCTGAGAGATCAGCTCAGGCCCAGCTGTGGACACACACACAGGGGCACTGACACACTGCCAGCCTGCCCAGATGTGCTCAGAGATGACCCCAGAGGCACAGAGCCCAGCACACGGGCACAGGCACACAGGCAAGGGGGTTGCACACAAGTGCCCTGACCTGAGCTCAACCATCCCTGCGCAGGCCAGAGGCTCTCAGGGGTGTTCCCAGCAGGGCACAAGCACAGGGATGTGCAGACACTGGCACACACTGGGGCACAGCCACACTCCCACACACATTATTGTGGGGGAGCAAAGGGGGCAGAGGACTAAGGAAGAGATGTGAGTGAGGAGGTGCAGGGAAGTTCCCAGTCAGAGCAGATTCTGGGAACACCAAGCAGGCAGAAGCTCAGTCTGAAGGGCTACAGGAGTCTCAAGCACTATGAAGGCCAAGGAGAAAGAGATTCATTGAAAGGACAAATCACATCAAGGAGCCATTAGGTGGTGAGCAAAAGACTGGAGGGCAGTGAACATAGAAGGCCCTGCCAGCCAGCACCAACATAAAATATCCAAAAGAATGCCTCAGGCTGGAATCACCTGCCTCTTTGGGTTCCTTTCTGCACCTAGGTCATGTCTCTTACACACACTGACACATCCTTGGCCCCAGGAAACATGGGATCTCACATACCAGCAGCATTCAAAAAAGGTCCATGAAGGAATGGGAATGATGTGAGCCAGGAAATGCAAAGTCATTGTAGACGGAAAAACCAACTCATGCCATACCATTCCTAGAAATCTTTCCATTCATTTGGGATCATGCAGGAATATCATCACTTGTGCAGCTCAAACTGTGGGCCCTGAGGCACTGTGGGGCCAGGATAAAAGGCAGCTGAACTGGTGGCTCTCTCAACAACTTCTGTCACCTCCTCCTTCTTGGGAATCAGGTGAGTTGGAAGCCCCTTTATCCTCCACCCTCTCCATGACTGCATTGATCTTTTCGGCCCTTGTTCCTGCTCCTGGTGCTTCTGTGGGTGCTCTGCAATGGTGGTGGTGTGGGCAGAGGGGAGACCGTGTGTTCTGGCCAGAGGCTGAGGCTGGGCTGAGGTGCTGATTTTCATCCCGGTTAGGCAGGAGCACAGCTGGGCCTGGCTGAGCTCGGAAGGACCGTGCTGGGCTCAGGCAAAGGATCCCCAGGCTGGGCCTGCACAGGCTGGAGCTGCGCAGGCAGCAGGGGCCTTGTCCTGCTGGGGGTGCCTTGCGGGCTGTGTCTCAGGTGTGCGTGTGCTCTGCTTCCTCCCTGCCCTCTGTGCCAGGTGCAGCGCCAGGCTCGAGACATGTCCTGCTCTGAGAAGTGCCAGCAGTGCCAGCCCTGCAACCCTTGCTGCCAGCCCTGCGGCCCCTGCCCGCTGGCCAGCAGCTGCACTGAGTGCTGTGTCAGGCAGTGCCAGAGCTCCCACGTTGTCATTCAGCCGCCTGCTGTGCTGGTGACCCTGCCCGGGCCCATCCTCAGCTCCTCCCCACAGAACACCGCCGTGGGATCTTCCACCTCTGCTGCTGTTGGCAGCATCCTCAGCTCTGAGGGAGTGCCCATCAGCTCTGGGGGCTTTGACATCTCCTGCATCACCAACTGCTGTGGTGGCAGCAGATGCTGTCGTCCCTGCTAAACATGCTGATGCCAACATCCTCAGGCAAGAAGATCCAAGACATCAGGACATGCTCCATGAATGCAGACAAAATATTGTAACTTGGAATTTAGCCTCTTTTGCTATTAGTTCCTTCTTCTCACTCCTTTCCTTTCACCATGTGCCAATGGCTGCCTAGTGGTTTTGTTCCCCCACCCCTCCTCTCCCTGGATCCTGCAAGCTGATCAGATGCAAAGACCTCTGCATCTTAGCGGCTGCTCCTGCTGCTACCTCTGAGAATCTCCTTCTTCTCTTCCTTAGACTTAATAAAGTTCTTTTTGCATCCACCCCTGGGCCTGTTTCTTCTCCTTTACCTCTGAGAACTCATCCAGTCATGTCAGGAGAACGTGGGAAAAGCAGAGAGCGGGACTCACTGCTATGGATCTTCCTTGTGCCCTTTCCATTGGAGCTGACATGGATACCCTGACAGTGAGGGTGGTGCAGCACTGGAAGAAGTTGCACAGAAAAGTTTATTCTCATTCGTAGAAATGTTAAGGCAAGGTTGCTGAGGACATTGAGCCACTTGATTTTGTGGGTGCCATCCTTGTCCATATTTTGGGCGGTGGGTGGAGTGTTGCAAATGAAAGAAAATGTTGCTTAGGTTCCCTTCCATCTCAAGATTTTGAGTTGACACAGTCAGGTGGATGGAACAACCACAAAACCATGGTGCAAAGGCAAAGAGCAGACTTATTTCCTTGCCTTTCTCCACACAGAAGACCAAGGGAACACTTCGGTGGAGATGCACAAGTGGGAATATTTTTCCCCTTTGGCTCAGTCCTTGCTAGTAGGGCTCCTCTTTACACCAGTGCTGTGATCTCCCTGGGCTTTTTGTGATATTTGAGCTTTGATCTTCTCTCTCCCAAAACAGGGAGCTCAAAAACATCCATGAGAGCACCTCCAAGTCTCTCCCAACACTGGCATTGTCTCTACACAGAGATGCTACTTCTCCAAACACTGGTTAAAGCAGTAGTAGGCATGCTTTTGGTGTTTCCCACACTGATACTCTCCAGGCTCTGGCATTCTCAGCTGCAAAGTCACTTGAGTGAACCTGCAATCATCCTCTTAATTCTTCTGCTTTTAACCCTTTCCTCCCAAACCAAACCATTTCTAATGAAATATGCTTTCACAGAGGCATCACCAGTGTGACAAATGTACTCTGTGTTGGGCTCAGCAGCGCTGAGTCCCTTTTGGACCCAGCCAAAGCTGACTCAGTCAGACATGGTGGGAGACACTGGACTCTTCAATGACACAGAGCCCATTCCTTCAGCTTTCTTCCCCAGCTTCCAAATCATTCAGCTATTACACAAGGAACAGGATCCATCACAGCGTGAAGCAAAATTTCAAGAGCAAAGTATAATGAAAGTGTTACTTCAGCCAAGTGCCTTAACCCATGCCTCAGTTTTTTTTTGAACCTTAATTTTCCTTCACTGTCCACTTGAGAAGTTGGAGTGATAGCGTGGCTGTCGAGCACTGCCCATCCATCCAAGGTCAACCCAGCAGAGATAGTAATAACAACCAAGGATTGTCAGTAAAGAATATATGGTGAGAAAGACCAGCAAGCTGTTGGACAAGGCACCCTAGGGAGGTAGGGCAAGACTCTTTGGGGAGAAGCAACCTTGCTGCAGCTCCTGTAGAGAAGCAAACCACAAGACAGCAGAAGAACAAGAATGTGGTGGAGAAATGTGCACGGATTGTTGATGGAAGGCCAACCAGAAGAGAGGAATTAAGATGCATTTTGTGACCTCATGGAATGCCACCAGACCATGATCTGAGCAGTCAGTCTGTGTGGATGAGTTTATATCCCGGAAATCCTTGGGCCTCTCATTCCGGCCCTAACACAAGTCCTCAGATAGGAACGCACAGGACAAAAGCCAGGAAATGAAAAGGCAGAAATGCAGGAAACCAGGACACAGCCTCTACCATTAACTGCAATGGTGCACATTTGACATGAGCTGGTCAGAAAATTATGACTTCCACAAAGGTGCCTCTGGGCCTGAGGCAGGGCAGGACTGCTATAAAAGGCAGCCCAAGTCTCTGCTCTCTCATCCACTTCTCTCACCTCCTCCTCTTCCTCAGGAACCAGGTGAGTGGGGGGCCTCTTCTCCTCTGCCTCCTGCTGCTTCAAGAGCATCTCTTGCCTGGCTGGAGGTCTCAGCTGAGAGGGGCTGTTGTAGTGCAGGGATGGGAGCTGCTTCTGCTGGGAGAGGGCAGGGGACAGAAGGTCTTGTGCAGACAGAGAGAGGCTGGGGCTTGTCTGAGGTGACTCCTGGGCGTTGAACAGGGAAGTGCAGTGGGGGCCAGGAGGTGCCTGGGCTGAAGGGTGTTTGGGTGCAGTGCTGCTTCTCATGTGTCCTCACTTTGTGCTTCTCCCGGCCCTCGATGCAAGGTGTACCTGTGACCCCGAGCCATGTCCTGCTGCCAGCCCTGCGACCCTTGCTGCCAGCCCTGCGGCCCCTGCCCGCTGGCCAGCAGCTGCACTGAGTGCTGTGTCAGGCAGTGCCAGAGCTCCCACGTTGTCATTGAGCCGCCTGCTGTGCTGGTGACCCTGCCTGGCCCCATCCTCAGCTCCTCCCCACAGAACACCGCCGTGGGATCTTCTACCTCTGCTGCTGTTGGCAACATCCTCAGCTGTGGCGGAGTGCCCATCAGCTCTGGGGGCTTTGACATCTCCTGCATCACCAACTGCTATGGTGGCAGCAGATGCCGTCCCTGCTAAGAATGCTGATGCCAACATCCTTGGGCAAGAACCTCCAAGACCTCAGATCATGGAGCTGGAATGAAGACAGAATTTTGGGACATTTTATGGAGGACTTATGACTTTTGTTTCATTCTTATCTTCTGTTCTTTCTCTTCCATTCATTTCTTGTCACCAGCACTCAATGTCAGCCTAGTTGGACCTCCAGGCTTTCCTCCTTCTTTCTATCTGGAGGGCAGGCCGAGGGACACTGCAAATGTCCCTCAGTGGCTGCTCCTGATGCTCTCTGGGAACCTCCTCCTTTTTCTTGCTTTGAGTCAATAAAGTTGTTTTGCATCCAAGCCTTGGCCTCTGCTTCTCTTTCCATCTGTGTCAACTTTTCCAGTGAGCTCAGGGCTTGGGACGCTCTACAGTGGATTTTACTTTGTGCCTTTTCTCTTGAAGCTCACAAACACATTCCTTTATACACCACTATAACTACCAGGGGAGGAAGATGGTTCCCCAGCTTGACATAAATGGGGGGTCAAAAGGGGTACATGGGAACCAGCAATGCTTGAGGACAGCCCACAACCTCCTCTTTTCTGACACCACCCCCACATTTACTGTTCTGTCCAGCTGCTCTCCAGACACACAGGACTGAGGGGTTTCATAGGTTGGGGTTGGCAGCACGCACCCAGATGGGCTGACTGGGGTCAGCTGTTCTGTGGTGTCACAGTAGAATGGGTTGGATTCAGACCTATACAGGGGACCCTCAGCCAACCCTGTCCAAGCTTAGATGCAGGCACAGCACTGGCCAGACATCTGAGCAGAGAGTGATCTCAACCAGTCAGCTGTTTTAACCAGGAGTTTCAAACCCTCTACATAAAGACCTTCCATAATAAACCACTGCTGTTTGATGATGGCTCTCAGTGTGTGGTGTCATGTGTCAGTCTCCAACTAGCAACCCCACATAAAACTATGGGGCTCTTTGCAGGTAAATTAATCATGAAGGAAGCTGTGACCCCATGAGGAGCCTGCACCCAAAAAGATTCCTGGCAAGAATGTCCACTACAGTGGAGAGAAGGCCACAGTGGAGAAGTCTTGCTGACAGGAATTCTTCCCCTGTTGGGAAGCTACCATGGAGCACTGTGTTTTTGAACAAGTGCAACCCTGGGAAATGACTGACCCTTTCCATGAGAATCTCTGGAATGAAAGAGTCCCCATCCTTTTTGTTGGAATCCTGGAACTGCTGGAAAACTGGATGGAGTTCCCCAAAACCTTCTACTTTCCAGAGAGAAAAGGCTCCACATCATCACTCATAATGACACAGGTTCTCCAGCACCTTGGTCATCTCTGTCACATACAGAGGGGTTGCAGTGGCTGCTGCATTGGGATTTGACACATTCCTCAGACAGTCCTGGCTCACTGTTCAACTGGCACAAAGATGCATCTTTAGACAAAACTGTGCCTTTCTGAAGAAGCAAAAGAAGGGTGTGGGAAAGGCCCCAGTTGGTCACCCTGTGCAATGAACATTTCACACTCCACGTGAAACTGTAGCCAGGCTCTTCAGTACCCACTGGAGGAGTGGTGCTCTGAGCTGCCAGGGAAGTCCAGTGTCCCAAATCCAACTCCAGCACCCCCATGGTGGCCCCTGAGGCTCTGGGCATGGAGCAGAAAGCACTGTCCAACATTACTTGGCCTGCTCTGTATATGATATTGTTGTCTTTGGACATCACTCACAGTGCAGCAATACATAAACGAAGTGGATCAGAGTGTGTATTTCTGCATGTGCATTGATGTCACTCCACTTACTTCCCCAAGGAAAGATTTCTGCAGCAACAAAGCAAGAAAGTTACTCAGAGTACCTGGCACAGCATGAATACAGTAGTCATGACAGATGATGGACCTGAACAAGCAGGATTGGAAGTATGCCAAGGAGAAACACACAATTTTACCATTCACATTTGCATTTTCAAATGAAACACCTGTGTCCGCATATTCCAGCTGATTTGCCATGTAATCTCACAAGTCTCCTACTTTTCTCTCATGATCCAGAAGCCTCTTTTACATAAAATTCTGGGTTACACTTAGATTGTGGACAGAATCAAAATCACCCTCCCACCTTGATGGAAGCAGCCACTGTTTCCCCTTCTCGGTGTCATAGACAAGTAACTTCCCTTTTCTGGCCACCACCTCCCAGAAACGATCAAACAGTTTCTCCAGGTGCCTCACTCTCTTTGACACCATCATTTTCCATACCTTGTGATTCAGGAAAAGGCCACCGTGGCCACGGGACTCACGAACTTCACAGAGCCACCAGAACACTGTCACATCCAAGCCTCCACATGAGGCAGGATCAAGGACAGTGGGAAACACCTGAGTGCCCCAAGGCTGCCTGGATGTGGCATCAAAGGGATAGCCTGAGTTTGGGACTTTCATTGAGAGATGTGGGTGCCGTGGCCCTCTCCAGATGCCTGGAGAGAAGGCAGTGGGCCCTGAGTGTGTGTGAGGGGCTGGCACTGCTGGGCAGGGAAGGCTCTACGGAGCGTGCAATGTCTGGGCTGAGAGCTCAGCTCAGGCCCAGCTGTGGACACACACACAGGGGCACTGACACACTGCCAGCCTGCCCAGCTGTGCTCAGAGATGACCCCAGAGGCACAGAGCCCAGCACAGGGGCACAGGCACACGGGCAGGGGGGTTGCTCACAAGTGCCCTGACCTGAGCACAACCATCCCTCCGCAGGCCAGAGGCTCTCAGGGGTGTTCCCAGCAGGGCACAAGCACAGGGATGTGCAGACACTGGCACACACTGGGGCACAGCCACAATAGCATGCACATTATTGTGGGGGAGCACAGGGGGCAGAGGCCTGAGGAAGGGATGTGAGTGAGGAGGTGCAGGGAAGTTCCCAGTCAGAGCAGATTCTGGGAACACCAAGCAGGCAGAAGCTCAGTCTGAAGGGCTACAGGAGTCTCAAGCACTATGAAGGCCAAGGAGAAGGATTTTCATTGAAAGGACAAATCACATCGAGGAGCCATTAGGCGGTGAGCAAAAGACTGGAGGGCAGTGAACAAAGGAGGCCCTGCCAGCCAGCACCAACATAAAATATCCAAAAGAATGCCCCAGGCTGGAATCACCTGCCTCTTTGGGTTCCCTTCTGCACCTAGGTCATGTCTCTTACACACATCAACGCATCCTTGCCCCCAGGAAACATGGGATCTCACATACCAGCATTCAAAAAAGGTCCATGAAGGAATGGGAATGATGTGAGCCAGGAAATGCAAAGTCATTGTAGATGGAAAAACCAACTCATGCTATACCATTCCCAGAAATCTTTCCATTCATTTGGGATCATGCAAGAATATCATCACTTGTACAGCTCAAACTGTGGGCCCTGAGGCACTGTGGGGCTAGTATAAAAGGCAGCTGAACTGGTAGCTCTCTCAACAACTTCTGTCACCTCCTCCTTCTTGGGAATCAGGTGAGTTGGAAGCCCCTTTAACCTCCACCCTCTCCATGACTGCATTGATCTTTCTGTTCCTTGTTCCTGCTCCTTGTGCTTTTGTGGGTGCTCTGCAATGGTGGTGGTGTGGGCAGAGGGGAGACCGTGTGCTCTGGCCAGAGGCTGAGCTCGGAAGGACCGTGCTGGGCTCAGGCAAAGGATCCCCAGGCTGGGCCTGCACAGGCTGGAGCTGCGCAGGCAGCAGGGGCCTTGTCCTGCTGGGGGTGCCTTGCGGGCTGTGTCTCAGGTGTGTGTGTGCTCTGCTTCCTCCCTGCCCTCTGTGCCAGGTGCAGCACCAGGCTCGAGACATGTCCTGCTCTGAGAAGTGCCAGCAGTGCCAGCCCTGCAACCCTTGCTGCCAGCCCTGCGGCCCCTGCCCGCTGGCCAGCAGCTGCACTGAGTGCTGTGTCAGGCAGTGCCAGAGCTCCCACGTTGTCATTCAGCCGCCTGCTGTGCTGGTGACCCTGCCCGGGCCCATCCTCAGCTCCTCCCCACAGAACACCGCCGTGGGATCTTCTACCTCTGCTGCTGTTGGCAGCATCCTCAGCTCTGAGGGAGTGCCCATCAGCTCTGGGGGCTTTGACATCTCCTGCATCACCAACTGCTGTGGTGGCAGCAGATGCTGTCGTCCCTGCTAAACATGCTGATGCCAACATCCTCAGGCAAGAACCTCCACAACCTCAGGACATGCTGCGGGAATGAAGACAGAACCTGATTTAGAGCTTCAGATTGTTCTTTCCTTCTTCTTCTCTTGCTCTCATTTCCCTCTCCTCTTCCTTTCCTGTCTCCAACACTCAATGTCAGCCAGTGGGACCTCTTGGCCTTCTTCCCTTGGCAGGCCCGGATGTCACATATCACTGGGGCATCTGAGTTTCTGACATCGAGTGCCCTCTCTGAGCCTCCATATTTTCTTCTTTTGACTCAATAAAGTTGTTTGTGCATTCTATCCTTGGCCAATGATTTGTCCTTCCTTCTGTGACAACTCTTCCAGTTCCCTCACTTGCAAAAGGCTGGAGGAAGTCCAGCATTGCCATCCCTGCAACTTTCTTGGTGCAATTTTTTTCGTTCAATTTTTTTTCCCTTCCCCTTGGAGCTCACAAAGATGTCCCTCTCTGTCAGGATGGTGAGGCAGTGTACTAAAGTGCCCAGAAAGGTTTTGGATGCTCAACACTGGAAGTGTGCAAGATAAGGTTCAACCCTTCTTTGAGCCAGCTGGTTTAGTGGGTGCCCAACTATTAAAGGCAGGAGGACAGGAATAAAATGGGTTTGGAGTTGCCTTCCAGCCCAAACCATTTCTAATGAAACCTGCTTTCCCAGAGGCCTCAGCAGTGTGACAAATGTGCTCAGTGGGGAACAGGTCTGAGTCCCCTTTGGACAGAGCTGGAGCTGACACAGTCAGACATGGCTGGAGACACTGGACTCTTCTCACAAAGCCCATTTCTGCAGCCTGAGTTACAAAGATTTTCCTTGTGAGCAACCACAACACATGAGGAAGCCTTGCTTCCTGGGAAACTGCCAGACATCATTTCCTGATGGAAGGAGGCCATGACAATTTTTTTCCCAGTGTATTTGTGCATGCATAACCTTTCACTATTGCTTTAGCAAACTCCCTTCCATCAAGGTTCAAATTGTTCTCTGATGGATATTATCTTCCGTGATCCCCTGAGGAAATGGATTGATAGAGCAGCTTGCCGGGCATCATCCATCCAGCCAAGGGCCACCAAGCACAGCTGCTAATCCAGCCCAGGGCAAGAGCAGGAACAAGCTGCAGAAGCGGGCATGGACTGTTGGCGAAAGTTAATTGTATTAGAGGGAAGCAAGAGCACGAAGAATACTTTATGTCCCCTATCCATTCCCAAAATGAGCCAGGAAAACAGGCTGCACGTGAAAACTCATAGGATGTCACAAAGAGATGCAAGAGAGATGGGCAGCTACAGAGGAAGAATGAGAGTGTTGCCCTGAGCATTTTGCCACAAACAAACCCACAGGAATGACGCAGGTTCAGGTCATGAGCCTGCATGGAATGCCACCAGACAATGATCCCAGCATTCTGCCTACTCTGACGTGTTTATATCCTGGAAATCCTTGAGCCGTTCATCCTGGCCCTAGAAGGAGTCTTCAGATAGGAACGCACAGGGCAGAAGCCGGGAAGCAGAGGTTGCAGTGCAGGAAATCAGGACACAGCCCCTACCATTAGCTGGGATAGTTTGCATTTGACATAAGCTGGTCAGAAAATTACGACTTCCACAAAGGTGTCTCTGGGCTTTTAGGCAAGGCAGCATAGCTATAAAAGGCAGCCCAAGTCTCTGCTCTCTTATCCACTTTGCTCACATCCTCCTCCTCCTCAGGAATCAGGTGAGTGGGAAGCCTCTTCTTCTCCTCCTCCTGCTGCTGCTTCAAGAGCAGCTCTTGCCTGGCTGGAGATCGCAGGTGAAAGGAGATATAGGAGACCAGGACTGGGAGCTGCTCCTATTGGGAGAGGGCCGGGGAGAGAAGGTCTGGTGCAGACAGAGAGAAGCTGGGGCTTGGCTGAGGTGGCTCCTGGGCTTTGAGCTGGTCAGTGCAGTGGGGGCCAGGAGGTGCCTGGGCTGCAGGGGGTTTGGGTGCAGTGCTGCTTCTCATGTGTCCTCACTTTGTGCTTCTCCCTGCCCTCTGTGTCAGGTGTGCCTGTGATCCCGAGCCATGTCCTGCTGCCAGCCCTGCGACCCTTGCTGCCAGCCCTGCGGCCCCTGCCCGCTGGCCAGCAGCTGCACTGAGTGCTGTGTCAGGCAGTGCCAGAGCTCCCACGTTGTCATTCAGCCGCCTGCTGTGCTGGTGACCCTGCCCGGCCCCATCCTCAGCTCCTCCCCACAGAACACCGCCGTGGGATCCTCCACCTCTGCTGCTGTTGGCAACATCCTCAGCTGTGGTGGAGTGCCCATCAGCTCTGGGGGCTTTGACATCTCCTGCATCACCAACTGCTATGGCAGCAGATGCTGTCCCCCCTGCTAAAGATGCTTCCAACATCCTTGGGCAAGAACCTCCACAGCCTTAGAATATGGAACTGAAATGAAGATGCATCTTTGGAACAATGATTTTGTGCGTTTGGTTTGCTGCTATTTTCATCCACTCTCTTCTCTTCCCTTCCCTTCCTGTCAGCACCACCCAATGCCAGCCTAGTGGGACCTCTTTGCCTCCCTCCTATATCTGTCACTCTGCAGTCCAGGTAAATGGATACCCTAATTATACCCCAGCGGCTGCTCGTGATGTCCTCTTTCAGCTTTCTCCTTCTCTTCCTTAGACTCAATAAAGTTGTTTTGCATCCAAACCTGGCCCTCTGCTTTCTCCTTCCTTGTGTGGGAACTCTTCCAGTCAGCTCAGGGCAAAAGGTGCAGGAAGACAAGCTTGGACAATTTGTGGTGGATGTTACTTTGTGCCTTTTCTCTTGCATCTCCCAAACAAATCCCATGCTCCCCCAAAATAGCGATCATCACGAGAAGATGATGTCAAAGGTCACACGAGTGGGAATGGGAAACAACATTCCTGGGGAGAGTCCACAACCTCCTCTCTTCAAACACCTTCCTCACATTAGTCTTCTGCTCAGCGACTAACCAGACTGGCAGGGCTGAGGGGTTTCACAGAGTCAAGTAAGCATGAGGACAGAACCAAAATCATCCACCCACCGTGTTGGAGTCTGCCACATTTTCTTATTCTGGATGTGGGAAAGGAGAAATTCTCCCGTCTTCTGTCCTCCACATCCCAGACACGGTCAAATGTTTTTCTCCACTTGACACATTATTTTTGACAGCATCATTTCCCCACAGCTCATGGCTCAGGAGAAAGGCCACTGTGGCCGCTGGACTTCCCATCCCACAGAGCCACCAGAACACTGTCACCACTGAGCCTCCACATGAGGCAGGATCAAGGACAGTGGGAAACACCTGAGTGCCCCAAGGCTGCCTGGATGTGGCATCAAAGGGATGGCCTGGGTTTGGGACTTTCATTGAGAGATGTGGGTGCCGTGGCCCTCTCCAGATGCCTGGAGAGAAGGAACTGGGCCCTGAGTGTGTGTGAGGGGCTGGCACTGCTGGGCAGGGAAGGCCCTACGGAGCGTGCAATGGCTGGGCTGAGAGCTCAGCTCAGGCCCAGCTGTGGACACACACACAGGGGCACTGACACACTGCCAGCCTGCCCAGATGTGCTCAGAGATGACCCCAGAGGCACAGAGCCCAGCACACGGGCACAGGCACACGGGCAGGGCGGTTGCACACAAGTGCCCTGACCTGAGCACAACCATCCCTGCGCAGGCCAGAGGCTCTCAGGGGTGTTCCCAGCAGGGCACAAGCACAGGGATGTGCAGACACTGGCACACACTGGGGCACAGCCACAATAGCATGCACATTATTGTGGGGGAGCACAGGGGGCAGAGGCCTGAGGAAGGGATGTGAGTGAGGAGGTGCAGGGAAGTTCCCAGTCAGCGCACATTCTGGGAACACCAAGCAGGCAGAAGCTCAGTCTGAAGGGCTACAGGAGTCTCAAGCACTATGAAGGCCAAGGAGAAAGAGTTTCATTGAAAGGACAAATCACATAGAGGAGCCATTAGGTGGTGAGCAAAAGACTGGAGGGCAGTGAACATAGAAGGCCCTGCCAGCCAGCACCAACATAAAATATCCAAAAGAATGCCTCAGGCTGGAATCACCTGCCTCTTTGGGTTCCCTTCTGCACCTAGGTCATGTCTCTTACACACACCGACGCATCCTTGGCCCCAGGAAACATGGGATCTCACATACCAGCATTCAAAATAGGGTCCATGAAGGAATGGGAATGATGTGAGCCAGGAAATGCAAAGTCATTGTAGACGGAAAAACCAACTCATGCCATACCATTCCTAGAAATCTTTCCATTCATTTCGATCCTGCAGGAATATCATCACTTGTGCAGCTCAAACTGTGGGCCCTGAGGCACTGTGGGGCCACTATAAAAGGCAGCTGAACTGGTGGCTCTCTCAACAACTTCTGTCACCTCGTCCTTCTGGGAATCAGGTGAGTTGGAAGCCCCTTTAACCTCCACCCTCTCCATGACTGCATTGATCTTTCTGTTCCTTGTTCCTGCTCCTTGTGCTTCTGTGGGTGTTCTGCAATGGTGGTGGTGTGGGCAGAGGGGAGACCGTGTGCTCTGGCCAGAGGCTGAGGCTGGGCTGAGGTGCTGATTTTCATCCCGGTTAGGCAGGAGCACAGCTGGGCCTGGCTGAGCTCGGAAGGACCCTGCTGGGCTCAGGCAAAGGATCCCCAGGCTGGGCCTGCACAGGCTGGAGCTGCGCAGGCAGCAGGGGCCTTGTCCTGCTGGGGGTGCCTTGCGGGCTGTGTCTCAGGTGTGTGTGTGCTCTGCTTCCTCCCTGCCCTCTGTGCCAGGTGCAGCGCCAGGCTCAAGACATGTCCTGCTCTGAGAAGTGCCAGCAGTGCCAGCCCTGCAACCCTTGCTGCCAGCCCTGCGGCCCCTGCCCGCTGGCCAGCAGCTGCACTGAGTGCTGTGTCAGGCAGTGCCAGAGCTCCCACGTTGTCATTCAGCCGCCTGCTGTGCTGGTGACCCTGCCCGGGCCCATCCTCAGCTCCTCCCCACAGAACACCGCCGTGGGATCCTCCACCTCTGCTGCTGTTGGCAGCATCCTCAGCTCTGAGGGAGTGCCCATCAGCTCTGGGGGCTTTGACATCTCCTGCATCACCAGCTGCTCTGGTGGCAGCAGATGCTGTCGTCCCTGCTAAACACGCTGATGCCAACATCCTCAGGCAAGAAGCTCCAAGACATCAGGACATGCTCCATGAATGCAGACAAAATATTGTAACTTGGAATTTAGCCTCTTTTGCTATTAGTTCCTTCTTCTCACTCCTTTCCTTTCACCATGTGCCAATGGCTGCCTAGTCGTTGTGTCCCCCCACCCCTCCTCTCCCTGGATCCTTCAAGCTGATCAGATGCAAAGACCTCTGCATCTTAGCGGCCGCTCCTGCTGCTGTCTTTGGCAATCAACTTCTTTTCTTCTTTAGACTCAATAAAGTTCTTTTTGCATCCACCCCGGGCCTATTTCTTCTCCTTTACCTCTGAGAACTCCTCCAGTCACGTCAGGAGAACGTGGGAAAAGCAGAGAGTGGGACTCACTGCTATGGATCTTCCTTGTGCCCTTTTCATTGGAGCTGACGTGGATACCCTGACAGTGAGGGTGGTGCAGCACTGGAATAAATTGCACAGAAAAATTTCTTCTCATTTCTATAATGTTAAGGCAAGGTTGCTGAGGACATTGAGCCACTTGATTTTGTGGGTGCCATCCTTGTCCATATTTTGGGCGGTGGGTGGAGTGTTGCAAATGAAAGAAAATGTTGCTTAGGTTCCCTTCCATCTCAAGATTTTGAGTTGACACAGTCAGGTGGATGGAAACACCACAAAACCATGGTGCAAAGGCAAAGAGCAGACTTATTTCCTTGCCTTTCTCCACACAGAAGACCAAGGGAACACTTCGGTGGAGATGCACAAGTGGGAATATTTTTCCCCTTTGGCTCAGTCCTTGCTAGTAGGGCTCCTCTTTACACCAGTGCTGTGATCTCCCTGGGCTTTTTGTGATATTCGAGCTTTGATCTTCTCTCTCCCAAAACAGGGAGCTCAAAAACATCCATGAGAGCGCCTCCAAGTCTCTCCCAACACTGGCATTGTCTCTACACAGAGATGCTACTTCTCCAAACACTGGTTAAAGCAGTAGTAGGCATGCTTTGGTGTTTCCCACACTGATACTCTCCAGGCTCTGGCATTCTCAGCTGCAAAGTCACTTGAGTGAACCTGCAATCATCCTCCTAATTCTTCTGCTTTTAACACTTTCCTCCCAAACCAAACCATTTCTAATGAAATATGCTTTCACAGAGGCATCACCAGTGTGACAAATGTACTCTCTGTTGGGCTCAGCAGCGCTGAGTCCCTTTTGGACCCAGTCAAACTGACTCAGTCAGACATGGTGGGAGACACTGGACTCTTCAATGACACAGAGCCCATTCCTTCAGCCTTCTTCCCCAGCTTCCAAATCATTCAGCTATTACACAAGGAACAGGATCCATCACAGCATGAAGCAAAATTTCAAGAGCAAAGTATTATTTAGCTAACCACCTTACCCCACTTTGGACAACCACCATAACCCATGCCTCAAGTTAGTTTTTGCACCTTTCTTTTACTTCCCTGTCCACTTCAGAAGTTGGAGTGATAGCGTGGCTGTTGAGCACTGGCTATCCAGCCATGGTCAACCCATCAGAGCCAGTAATAACAACCAAGGATTGTCAGTAAAGAATATATGGTGAGAAAGACCAGCATGTGGTTGGACAATGCACCCTAGGGAGGAAGGGCAACACTCTTTGGGGAGAAGCATCCTTGCTGCGGCTCCTGTAGAGAAGCAAACCACAACACAGCAGAAGAACAAGAATGTGGTGGAGAAATGTGCACGGACTGTTGACTGAAGGCAGGCAGACCAGAAGAGAGGAATTAAGATGCATTATGTGACCTCATGGAATGTCACCAGACCATGATCTGAGCAGTCAGTCTGTGTGGATGAGTTTATATCCCGGAAATTCTTGGGCCTCTCATTCCGGCCCTAACACAAGTCCTCAGATAGGAACGCACAGGACAAAAGCCAGGAAATGAAAAGGCAGAAATGCAGGAAACCAGGACACAGCCTCTACCATTAACTGCAATGGTGCACATCTGACATGAACTGGTCAGAAAATTATGACTTCCACAAAGGTGCCTCAGGGCTTAAAGCAGGGCAGGACTGCTATAAAAGGCAGCCCAAGTCTCTGCTTTCTCATCCACTTCTCTAACCTCCTCCTCTTCCTCAGGAACCAGGTGAGTGGGGGGCCTCTTCTCCTCCACCTCCTGCTGCTTCAAGAGCAGCTCTTGCCTGGCTGGAGGTCTCAGCTGAGAGGGGCTGTTGAAGTGCAGGGATGGGAGCTGCTTCTGCTGGGAGAGGGCAGGGGAGAGAAGGTCTTGTGCGGATCAAGTAAGGCAGGGAATTGGCTGAGGGAGCTCTTGGGCTTTGAGCTGGGCAGTGCAGTTTGGGCTAGAAGGTGCTTGGGCTGCAGGGGGTTTGAGTGCCGTGCTGCTTCTCATGTGTCCTCACTCTGTGCTTCTCCCTGCTCTCTGTGTCAGGTGTGCCTGTGACCCCGAGCCATGTCCTGCTGCCAGCCCTGCGACCCTTGCTGCCAGCCCTGTGGCCCCTGCCCGCTGGCCAGCAGCTGCAATGAGTGCTGTGTCAGGCAGTGCCAGAGCTCCCACGTTGTCATTGAGCCGCCTGCTGTGCTGGTGACCCTGCCCGGACCCATCCTCAGCTCCTCCCCACAGAACACCGCCGTGGGATCCTCCACCTCTGCTGCTGTTGGCAACATCCTCAGCTGTGGCGGAGTGCCCATCAGCTCTGGGGGCTTTGACATCTCCTGCATCACCAACTGCTATGGTGGCAGCAGATGCCGTCCCTGCTAAATCTGCTGGCAATGTCTTCCTGCAGGAAGGTCCAGGACTTCAAAGCCTGGTTTTGGGCAGGAGATAGAGCTTCAGAAAGTTGTATTTAGAGCTTTCGAACACCGCTTCCTTGTTTCACTCACCTCTTCTTTTCTGTCCCTCTCTCCCCAAGGCTAATATGGCCTTGTCCTCCCTTCCTCTGCAGAGCAGTGCAAAGAAAAGCACATGGGAGCTCCAACTTACTGGCTGCTCCTGGTGCTCTCTGTCAGCCATCACCTTTTCTCCTTTAAACTTATTAAAAGTGTGTTGCATTCAAGCCTTGGCCTTTGAGTCGTCTATTGTTCTGGGGCAACTCCTCCAGTCTGCTCAGGAAAAAGGTGGAGACAACAAAGTGTGGGGCTCAGTGCGGCGGATTTTACTTTGCGCCCTTCCCTTTTCCCTTGGAGCTGATGAAGAACATCCCCGGCTACTCAGCAGCCAAAGGCCATCATGGAGACTTTGGCTCTAAAGGAGTGGCAATGGGAAACAACAACAATTGTGAACAGCCCACAGCACATCACTTCCTATACTTCCTTCATTGCCTGGCCTAGGGTCTGTGGCCAGCACACCTGGGAACAAGGAGATGAGATCCAAACCTCACACAGGCCCTCAGCACTTGGCATGGCCCAGCTGCTGCCCAGAGCCGCAGGGCTGAGGGGATTCACAAGTAAGAACTGGTAACACACTCAGTCTGGGCAGTGGAGTCTCCGTCGCTGTGATCCCAACACCTCCAAAACGATCTAATGTTTTGTTCCAGGTTTCCATCTTCCCTGTGTCAATGACTTGTGGTTTCACTCCTAATGCCAACATGCAGGAATGTTTTCATATGTACTTGAAATTTCTGGTTAATCCTTGGCCTTTAGCCCCAGGCAGTTCAACAAATATCATTCCTGGGGAACCATGATCTCTTGGGTGCAGAAAATAAACTTCTGAAGGCATTGCTGGGCTCCAAATACCAGCTCAGGTTCACAGGTCTCTCTGACGCATGCGACATTCCACACATGCTCCTCCTGCCTGGATATCAAGGCAGTGACAGAGCCTTTGTCCATCTCACAGGATACACACACACCTTGCTCTGTCCCAAAACCAAGGCTTCATCTGCTCCTCGTGAGACCTGCTGCTCAAGCATTAGTCTCAGTTGCCAGAACCACACTATCTCCAGTTCCACATCCTTCTGTGTGTGTGACCCCTACGGGCAACCCCTCCACATGGCTCCTTTTGGAAACCAGAATATATAAAAAGACTATAAGCTATTACAGAATGCACAAAGGAGGCCACGATGATGGGGAACGGACTGGAGGACATCCTTGAGGAGAGACTGAGGTCACTAAGCCCATTCAGCCAGGAGAAGATGAGACTGAGGCCAGACATGACTTTGATCTTTGACATCCTCCTGAGGGGCAGTTCAGGAGCAAGAAGCAAACTTTTCACACTCATGACCAGTGACAAGACTTGAGGAAGTGGGTGGAGCTGAGTTGAGGGAGGCTGAGGTGGGATATCAGGAAAAGGTTCTTCACCCAGAGGGTGTTTGGTGGTTAAACACTGGAACAGACCCCCCAGGGAAGTCGTCACTGCAAGGGACCAACTGAGAGAGCTCAAGAAGTGTTTCAACAACACTCTCAGGTACTTGGTGGGAGTCTTGGCATGTCCTGTGCAGGGTCAGGAGTTGGACTTGATGCTCCTGATGGGTCATTTTCAACTCAGCATCTTCTGTGATTCTAGAATTTTATGATTGTGCTGAGAAAGTCTCAGTCCTCTTGCTAAATGCCATTCCCTTACTTAAATAGCGTGGTGCGGTCCTCCACAAGCCTCTGGTTCTCCAGGGAGTAAAGACTGCGTTCCTTCTATCTTTCTCCTGAGGGTTGGGTGTTTGGGGGCTTTTCCTCTAGGGGAATTTTCTTCCCATTTGGTGCCAGTGAGATGATGAATGGACAGTGATCAAGAAACTAAAGACACTTTTTGCTTCATCCCACACTTCTTGTGCTGTGTTTTTTGCCTTTTCTTAAATATGTTTTCATGAAGGCTTGACCAGTGTCACTGAGAAGTTCAGGCTTGGCCAGCACTGACTCTGTTCTTTAGCTGTCTGGATCTGGCTTTGTAGAAAATGGGCAAAGCACTTGAGATGTTCCTTTAACCTCCTCATTGTTACAAAACCTTGTCATCTAATAAGGGGTACAAGGGAGTATAGAGCAATTTTAGGTGAATAAAATAATCAGAAGGAAAAAACCAGTTCAGGCTGGTTTAATAGACTACCAAGCAAATTTGATTTAGTCAATTTAAAATTCAACAGGAAAACAACATTTTGGCTTCAATAAAGGGCAGATGAATCTTCAAATAATCGCAAAATGAGATACTATGATGTAGGACTTGGAAAGAAACACTTAAAAAAATACAACCATCTAAAGTGCTTGGTGGATCTACTTCATGTCTTTGGCAAGTTGAACAGACTGAACTAGTTATGGTGATTACCATAATGTTATCATTTGGAAATCAGGTCTGCATTACTGCACATTCTCCCTAGTCCTCTTTGCACCCCTCAGGGCACTTTTCCGAATAACTCTTCCTGGCAGGTCCCAAAGGCGATGAAAACCAACGTTTATGGAATTCAGGTTTGCAATTTTGCCTTCTGTTCTACACAACCACTGCACATCACAGACAGGAGAGCTACCCCAGCTTTCTCCAAAATCCCAGTAAGGTCCCAGGTCTGCACGCAAGCACAAGCTGTATCATGTCCCGCTCATTAAAATGACTCAGGTCTCCTGGACAAGGATCAGGCCTCAGACAACTCCCGGCATTCCCAGAGGACCCCCAGAGATTGCACAGAAAGATGATGAGCCAAGTGAGTCAAACACAATTTTTCTCTGAGCACTGTTAAAGCAGCAACAGGGTCCAACCCTCCCAGCAGATGCACAGCCGCGTGCGACAGTGAGTGAGCATCATGAAGAGATGGGAAAAGCAACAGAAAATGATGTGTCATGACCCCTCACGTGGCAGACCTTGGGCATGTGGGCAAGAAACACGAGATTGATGCCCATTTCCTGACAACGTTGACTAAAACAAACCCTCAGGAATGACACAGGTGAACACATTTGTCCACAGAGGATGCTGCCAGCTGATGGTCTGAGCATTCTACATGCACTCAGCATTGGTTTTGCCCAGGAAATGCTTGAGTCTCCCATCCCAGCACTTTGAGAAATGACCATTCATGTAGGAAAGCAAAGAGAATTAGCCAGGAAATGAAAAGGCAGCAGTACAGGAAACCAGGACACAGCCCCTACCATTAACTGGGATGGGGCACATTTGACAGGAGCTGGTCAGAAAATTATGACTTCCACTGAGGTGGCTCTGGGCCTGAGGCAGGGCAGGACTGCTATAAAAAACAGCCCAAGTCTCTGCTCTCTCATCCACTTCTCTCACCTCCTCCTCTTCCTCAGGAACCAGGTGAGTAGGAAGACTCTTCTCCTCCTCCTGCTACTCCAAGAGGAGCCCTTGCCTGGCTGGAGGTCTCAGCTGAGAGGGGCAATAAGTGCCCACAGCTGGGAGCTGCTTCTATTGGGAGAGGGCAGGGGAGCGAAGGTCTTGTGCAGATCAAGTAAGGCTGGGACTTCCATTGAGGTGACTCCTGGGCTTTGAGCTGGGCAGGAAAATGTGGGGGCCAGGAGGTGCTTGGGCTGCAGGGGGTTTGGGTGCAGTGCTGCTTCTCATGTGTCCTCACTTTGTGCTTCTCCCTGCCCTCTGTGCCAGGTGCACCTGTGATCCCGAGCCATGTCCTGCTGCCAGCCCTGCGACCCTTGCTGCCAGCCCTGCGGCCCCTGCCCACTGGCCAGCAGCTGCAATGAGTGCTGTGTCAGGCAGTGCCAGAGCTCCCACGTTGTCATTGAGCCGCCTGCTGTGCTGGTGACCCTGCCCGGCCCCATCCTCAGCTCCTCCCCACAGAACACCGCCGTGGGATCTTCCACCTCTGCTGCTGTTGGCAACATCCTCAGCTGTGGCGGAGTGCCCATCAGCTCTGGGGGCTTTGACATCTCCTGCATCACCAACTGCTATGGTGGCAGCAGATGCCGTCCCTGCTAAATCTGCTGGCTATGTCTTCCTGCAGGAACGTCCAGGACTTCAAAGCCTGGTTTTGGGCAGGAGATAGAGCTTCAGAACGTTGTATTTAGAGCTTTCGAACACCGCTTCCTTGTTTCACTCACCTCTTCTTTTCTGTCCCTCTCTCCCCAAGGCTAATATGGCCTTGTTGTCCTCCCTTCCTCTGCAGAGCAGTGCAAAGAAAAGCACATGGGAGCTCCATCTTACTGGCTGCTCCTGGTTCTCTCTGTCAGCCATCACCTTTTCTCCTTTAAACTTATTAAAAGCGTGTTGCGTTCAAGCCTTGACCTTTGAGTCGTCTATTGTTCTGGGGCAACTCCTCCAGTCTGCTCAGGAAAAAGGTGGAGACAACAAAGTATGGGGCTCAGTGCGGCGGATTCTACTTTGCACCCTTCCCTTTTCCCTTGGAGCTGATGAAGAACATCCCTGGCTACTCAGCAGCCAAAGGCCATCATGGAGACTTTGGCTCCAAAGGAGTGGCAATGTGAAACAACAACAATTGTGAACAGCCCACAGCACATCACTTCCTATACTTCCTTCATTGCCTGGCCTAGGGTCTGTGGCCAGCACACCTGGGAACAAGGAGATGAGATCCAAACCTCACACAGGCCCTCAGCACTTGGCATGGCCCAGCTGCTGCCCAGAGCCGCAGGGCTGAGGGGATTCACAAGTAAGAATTGGTAACACACTCAGTCTGGGCAGTGGAGTCTCCGTCGCTGTAATCCCAACACCTCCAAAACGATCTAATGTTTTGTTCCAGGTGTCCATCTTCCCTGTGTAAATGACTTGTGGTTTCACCCCTTATGCCAACATGTAGGAACGTTTTGAGCTGTACTTGAAATTTCTGGTTAATCCTTGGCCTTCAGCCCCAGGCAGTTGAACAAATATCATTCCCTGGGTATCCATGATGTCTTGGGTGCAGAAAATAAACTTCTGAAGGCATTGCTGGGCTCCAAATACCAGCTCAGGTTCACAGGTCTCTCTGATGCATGCGACATTCCACACATGCTCCTCCTGCCTGGATATCAAGGCAGTGACAGAGCCTTTGTCCATCTCACAGGATACCAACACACCTTGCTCTGTCCCAAAACCAAGGCTTCATCTTCCCCTCGTGAGACCTGCTGCCCAAGCACTAGTCTCAGTTGCCAGAACCACACCATCTCCAGTTCCACATTCTTCTGTGTGCGTGACCCCCACGGGCAACCCCTCCACATGGCTCCTTTTGGAATCCAGAATATAGAAAAAGACTATAAGCTACTATAGAATGCCCAAAGGAGGCCATGAGGATGGGAGAGGGTCTGGAGGATCTCCATGAGGAGTGGCTGAGGCCACTAAGCCCATTCAGCCAGGAGAAGATGAGACTGAGGTCAGGCATGACCATGATCTTTTACATCCTCCTGAGGGGCAGTTCAGGAGCAAGAACCAAACTTTTCACGCTCATGACCAGGGACAAGACTTGAGGAAGTGGGTGGAGATGAGTTGAGGGAGGCTGAGGTGGGATATCAGGAAAAGGTTCTTCACCCAGCGGGTATTTGCTGGTTTAACACTGGAACAGACCCCCCAGGGAAGTGGTCTCTGAGAGAGACCAACCTGAGAGAGCTCAAGAAGCGTTTAGGCAACACTCTTGAGTACTTCTTGGGAGTCTTGGCATGTCCTGTACAGGGTCAGGACTTGGACTTGATGCTCCTGATGGGTCATTTCTAACTCAGCATCTTCTGTGATTCTAGAATTTTGGATTAGATAGATTCTTCCTGGCAGGCCCCAGAGGTGCTGAAAACCAACCTTTATGGAGTTCAGGGTTGTAATTTTGCCTTCTGTTCTACACAACCACTGCAAATCACAGTCAGGAGAGCTACCCCAGCTTTCTCCAAAATCCCAGTAAGGTCCCAGGTCTGCACACGAGCACAAACTGTATCATGTCCCGCTCATTAAAATGACTCAGGTCTCCTGGACAAGGATCAGGCCCCAGACAACTCCTGGCATTCCCAGAGGACCCCCAGAGATTGCACAGAAAGATGATGAGCCAAGTGAGTCAAACACAATTTTTCTCTGAGCACTGTTACAGCAGCAACAGGGTCCAATCCTCCCAGCAGATGCACAGCCGCGTGCGACAGTGAGTGAGCATCATGAAGAGATGGGAAAAGCAACAGAAAATGATGTGTCATGACCCATCACGTGGCAGACCTTGGGCATGTGGGCAAGAAACACAAGACTGATGCCCATTTCCTGACAACGTGGACTAAAACAAACCCACAGGAATGACACAGGTGAACACATTTGTCCACAGAGGATGCTGCCAGCTGATGGTCTGAGCATTCTACATGCACTCAGCATTGGTTTTGCCCAGGAAATGCTTGAGTCTCCCATCCCAGCACTTTGAGAAATGAACATTCATGTAGGAAAGCAAAGAGAATTAGCCAGGAAATGAAAAGGCAGCAGTACAGGAAAACAGGACACAGCCCCATTATTAGCTGGGATAGTTTGCATTTGAAATGAGCTGGTCAGAAAATTATGACTTCCACTAAGGTGCTTCTGGGCCTGAGGCAGGGCAGGACTGCTATAAAAGGCAGCCCAAGTCTCTGCTCTCTCATCCACTTCTCTCACCTCCTCCTCTTCCTCAGGAACCAGGTGAGTGGGAAGCCTCTTCTCTTCCTCCTTCTGCTGCTGCTTCAAGAGCAGTCCTTTCCTGGCTGGAGGTCGCAGCTGAAAGGGGCTGTCATAGCGCAGGGCTGGAAACTGCTTCTGCTGGGAGAGGGCCAGGGAGAGAATGTCTTGTGCTGACACAGAGAGGCTGGAACTTTGCTGAGGTGACTCCTGGGCTTTGAGCTGGGCAGTGCAGTGGGGGCCAGGAGGTGCCTGGGCTGAAGGTTGTTTGGGTGCAGTGCTGCTTCTCATGTGTCCTCACTTTGTGCTTCTCCCTGCCCTCTGTGCCAGGTGCACCTGTGACCCCGAGCCATGTCCTGCTGCCAGCCCTGCGACCCTTGCTGCCAGCCCTGCGGCCCCTGCCCGCTGGCCAGCAGCTGCAATGAGTGCTGTGTCAGGCAGTGCCAGAGCTCCCACGTTGTCATTGAGCCGCCTGCTGTGCTGGTGACCCTGCCCGGCCCCATCCTCAGCTCCTTCCCACAGAACACAGCCGTGGGATCTTCTACCTCTGCTGCTGTTGGCAACATCCTCAGCTGTGGCGGAGTGCCCATCAGCTCTGGGGGTTTTGACATCTCCTGCATCACCAACTGCTATGGTGGCAGCAGATGCCGTCCCTGCTAAATCTACTGTCAACATGTTCGGACATGAACCTCCATGATCTCAGGACCTGGTTCTGGGCAGGGCTTTGGGACATTGTAATTTTAGTTTCAAGCCACTATCCCCATCTTCTTCTCTTTCCTCTTCACCTCTTTTATTTGCTATCTCTGTTGCCCCAGACCAACATGGCTGAACTTGTTGCTTTTCCTCTTCCCCCCTCTTTAGGGATGGCAAATGGACAACCTGCATCTTATTGGTCTTCCAAGTGCTCTCTTTGAGGCACCTCCTTTTCTTCTTTGGACTTAATAAAGTTGTTTTGCAACCAAGCCATGGCCTCCAGATTCTCCTTCTTTCCATGTCTACACTTCCAGTCAACTCAAGGAAAAAGTTGGAGAAAACAAGTGTTGGGACTTCCTGCAGTGAATTTTACTTCGTGCCTTTTCTTTTGGAGCTGCTAAAATTTCCCCTGGCTACCCCACAGAAAATGGTCTTCAGGGACACCCTGTCTGTGAAGGGTCACAACAATAGGGATGGGAAACAAAGTTCTGCACACAGCCCAGAATTTCACCTCTGCCTTCTCCTCCCCTCCATCATACAGTTTACAAGTCTGTGGTCAGCACAGATGGTCAAGGACAAATGACATATGCAGCCCATATAATTCTTCATCACCTGGCAAGGCCTGACTGCCTTCCGGACATGCAAGACTGAAGTGAATCACAAACTGATATCAATATCTGCCATATTCAGGCTACGCAGTCACAGTCCCCATTTCTGTGAACCATACACCCCATGAGCTACTGCCTGGCTGGGCTCTTGGTCTTGCATGGGCAGAGGCTTCTTCATTTTTGGGTTCTCTTTGTGTTTTTGTTCCCTTGTTTTAGAGAGACTACAGGTAGCAGTTTTGAGCTGCCTGGAGGTGAATCACACATGCGCTGCCTGTCACTGCAGGCAGCCATGCTCCAGCAAGCTGGTCAAGATGGGTAAGCCCCCACTCCAGCAAAGAAGAATATGGAAGCAGAGACTCTTTCTCTTTCATGGCACCTTTTTCTTTTCTTCACCTTCTCTTCTCTTTTTCTTCACCTTCTTTTCACTTTTACTTCACCTTTTGGCGGAGGTGGGATCTTGGCTGTGAAGGTAGTTACTTTGGATTTACAACTGTAGCCACTTGTAAACACAACATTTCACAATTAGAAACTTTTTTGAAATGAACTTCAAAAACTTTGCCAGCAGCTAAAAAGAGAGCAAGTTCCTGGTAGTCTGTGGTGACAGACTACCCTGTGCTGCTGTGGACAGACCTGTCCTTTCCCCTCCACCACAGGCACAGTGCACGGCAGAGCAGCAGCACCAGGGGAGCCCCATAAATGTCAGGAGGAAGCGGCAGCAGTGCAGACCCCACGTGAGCTGGCAAGTCTTCATCAGCCACTAAAACTGCTCTATAGGTTCTTGCCTTTGCCGGTAGGATTTGCCATTTTTTTGTCCCTTTTTTCCCACATGGTCACCTTCCATCTTGGAAGGAAAGGATGTGATGCCATCTTCCCCTTATCCCTCAAGCCATACAGACATCTTGGGAAGGATATTTCTGGAATTTCATGTCTCTCTTGGTTCCCATGGGTTTTTTGAGTTTCAGCAATTTTATATTTAGCAGTAATTTAACATTATTTTTTGCCTGTTCTGCTTGTTAGTAAACTGTTATTTTGTTCACTTATATTTACTCATATTTTGTTCTTTATTGGTGAAAGAGATTGGTTGGGATTAAGGGAAGATTACTCATTTTAGATTGCCCAGCTTTTTAAATTATCTTAAACCAAGACAACCTTCATCATTGAAATATTCAAAACCTTCTCTGTTCCATTTTCTTTGGGACAATTGCAAATTTTCCCTTGTAACTTAACCAGTTCTATTGCAGAGTGAGATAATATGAGGCGTACTCTGTCTCCTGATAAACAAATTTTGTCTTTACAAATGGGCAGAGCTTGGGGTGAAGGGAAGTGAAGGAGGGCTGGCTTTGCTGACTCAAAACCCTTATCT